CCCCTCCTCTCCTTTCCCCTCCCCTTTCCCTCTCCTCCTCTCCCCCCACTTCTCCTTTCCTTTTTTCTTTTTTTAAATTTAAAATCTAGCAGAAGGGCCAGGGATTTAGCTCAGTGGCACTGTGTGCCTTGTAAAGTGCAAGGTTGTAAATTTGATCACCGGTACCCCCCAAAATAGATAAAATTTAGCGGGACATGACAACTTAATGGTTTTGTAAAGCCTGATCTCAAATGTAATTTTTATGTTTTTTGTTTTTTAGTTTCACAGGGTCTTTCTGTCTAGGTTAGGCTGACCTTGAACTCACTATGTAGTCCAGGCTATTCTTGAACTCAGGCAATCCTCCTGCCTCAGTTTTTCAGGATTACAGTCATGCACCCCTACACCCAGCTCAAACATAGATTTTTGGGTTTTTGTTTGTTGGTTGGTTTGCTTTTTGAGACAGGGTCTCACTGTGTAATTCAGGCTGACCTTGAACTCGCTGTGTAGTCCAGGCTGGCACTGAATTCATGACGGTTCTCCTGCCTCAGCCTACCAAGTGCTGGGATTACGGGTATGCACCACCACACCCGGCTAATATTTTTTGTTGTTTGTTTGGCCTGCTGGAGATGGAAACCTTGTGCATGCTGGGCAAGCACTCTACCACTGAGCTCCATCCCAGTTCTTTTCTTGTATTGTGAGACAGGATCTTGCTACATTGCCCAGGCTAACCTCAACTGCCATCGTCCTGCCTCAGCTACTTTAGTTGGGATTATAGGCATTCTCTGTTAGTCTTTGTTATCATTTTTCTTTTTTCTATTTTTGTTTTATGAGACAGGGTCTCTATGTAGTTCAGACTGGCCTTGAATTCCACAGCCTGTACTTCCAGGGTGGCCCAGATCCTGTACCAGTCCTTCCGCCTCAGCCTCCCTAGTGGTGGGATTACAGGCGTGCAGCACCATGCCTGGCTACTTTATTATTTTTAGAATCGAGGTCTTGCCATGTTGCCCATACTGGCCCCAATTCCTTTTGCCTTTACCTCCTGAGTAGTTGAGATTGTGGATGCACATAGCTCTGGTCAGATAATGGTCTTTTTAAAAACATTGTCATGATTTCCTGATCCTTCAAAGTTCATGGGTTTGAATATGGTGCTGATTTTACAGTTGTCTTCTCCCCCCCACCCCCATGCATAGTTTTACTTGTCTAGCTTTCAGTTACCCGCAGTCAACAGTAGCCTGGAAATATTAAATTGAAAATTCCAGAAATAAATAATTGGTAAGTTTTATGTTGCCCATTGTTCTGAGCAGCGAGATGAGCTCTTGGTGCTGTCCTGCCTGTGCCATGAATTGTCCCTTTGGCTATCTGCACTGTATCGAGAGCCTGCCTATTGGTTCCTTGGTGACCATCTAGCTTATCAGTGTCTTATACCACAGTGCTTTCTGTAGGGCTTCAGATCCCACCCTAGTGAGGTGTGTTACTTGTGTTCTTAATGACCCTCAAGATCTCTCATCACTGTCCTATGGGACTCCCTTCTAGTTTGCTGTTGACTTCCCACCCCATCTTCCAAAGTTGTGTGTTTTTTATTTTAAGGGACATAATTATGAGGGCTTCCTGACACAGGTCATTCTTTCTTTTAAAAAATATCTTTAGTAAATTGCATAGATCTTAGGTGTATAACTTGATATCTTCATGAGTGCACCTATATCCTATCAAGATGTAGAATGTGCCAGGCGTGGTGGCACATGCCTGTAATCCCAGCACTCAGGAGGCTGAGGCAGGAGAATTGCTGCGAGTTCGAGACCAGCCTGGGCTACACAGTGAGTTCAGAGCAGTCTGAACTACATAGTGAGACCCTGTCTCAAAAAAAAAAAAAAAAAGGAAGAAGGAAAAAGAAAAAGATGTAGAATATCAGCTGAGTGTGGTGGTGCACACCTGTAGTCTCTGCCCTCTGGAAGGCTGAGGCAGGAGGATTGTATATTCAAGCTCAGTCTGAAGAATTTAGCAGATTAGTGAGACCTGGTCTCAGAAAAAGGAGGAAGATGTAGCTTGGTGTGAAGGTCCTGGGTTCAATTCCCAGTATGATGCTTTTTTTTTTTTTTTTAAAGTCCCCACAGTGACTGCAGGTGATCTCTGCGTGCTGCCTCCCATCAGGAAGTTACTGTTCTGACTTCCTTTACCAAGATTAATTTTGCTGGTTCTCAAACTTCACATGAGTGGAACCATGTAGTGTTGATTTCTTGACTGGTTCTTATGCTGAGTGTTTTTTGGGGGGCTTCATGTTGCCTGTGTCCCAGCTCTTACTGATGTGACTCCAGTGATCTTTGATTGTTGCCTTGCTTTTTGAGACAGCATGTTGCACTGTATCTGTCTTGTGTGTATTTGTGCTTGACCTAGAAGGTCAGAACTGCAGCCTTTAACTGTTCCCAGTGGGAAACCATCAACTCTGCCAGCACATGCCTCCTGCTTTTATTTCTCTTTGCTGTGACCTGGTTTCTTGTTTGACTTTCAGCCCTAGAGCATGTTCCAAACTCTGTTCGCTTGTGGAAAGCAGCTGTTGAGCTGGAAGAACCTGAGGATGCTAGAATCATGCTCAGCCGAGCTGTGGAGTGCTGCCCCACTAGTGTGGAGGTGAGTCTGTCAGACTCAGGTTCACAGCCCACCCCGAGGAAAGCCCGAGCCAGGTCCAGTGTCCAGGGCTGACATGTATGGAGCGTTGTGCTCACCAGGGCTGCAGTGTTTGGCAGTAGAAGGTGGTCTGCAGCCCAGGATGCTGCTCTGTAGCAGCTGCCAGGTGGGATGGTGGCTGGTTTCAGTCACTCATGTTGTGATGAGCTCACGGAGCAGGTGGTTGGCACACAGCACAGTGGGTAAACATGCAGAACTGAATCTTTGCTCATCCCCGATCACAACAGAAAACCAGTAGACACTTTCAGGGCTGTCCCTTCTAATACCGCCCAGAGTTTGTGAATGTGAGCTGAAGGGTAGTAGGGTAATGGAAGGCAGCTATGCCCACCAGTATACCACCAACATGGATAATAGGATCGTTGCTCTGTCTTTCTCCTGGCCCAGTATAAGGCTAACTCTTTGCCTCAGAGCTGGTGGGAACTTCTTTACTTTAAATCTTCAATTAACACAGCCTTCTGAACAGTGATTTCTCAGTTTAGTCTTTTTGGTCTTTTGAGACAGGGTTTAGTTATGTAGTTGAGGTTGGCCTTGAATCACTATGTGGCCCGTGCTGGCCTCGTGATCTTCCTGCTCTAGCCTGTCAAGTGCTGACATAACAAGCATGTGCCCCCATGTGCAGCTCATCTTGGTCTTGTGCTACCTAGTATGTCTTTAGTTATCCTAACAGATACTGTGAAGTTCTCCACGCAATTAATTATATTTTATTTATATAAAAATATATAGAGCCCATACACATTTTTGGAATGGAATGTTGCAGAATCAGTGCTACTAGAATAGAGAATTCCAGAAGGTTGAGTACCGACCTATCTTTGAGCCCATCCTTCTCACCTTTCCCAGCATCTGGAGTCAAGTCTGGTACACTGTGCACATTTTAAACTAGAGTTGGTAACCTTTGGTTAAGAGTCCCACTAACCTTTCCCACACCAGAATTTGTTGTGAAGTTAGAATCATAGCTGGGCAATTGATTGGGTCAGAAATGCTACTGTTTAAATAGTCCTTGAGAGTCAGGGATTTAGTTCAGAGGTTCTGCCACTTACCTCGCAAGAGCAAGGACCCGAGTTTTATCCCTAGGACCAAAATAAATAAATGAATAAATAAATAGTCCTTGAGACTTTTTAAAAATACTTTGTGGACATGCTGTGCGCTTGTTGAAGTGCACTGCTCTACATAGTTGTGCACTCTGTAATCACTGCACTCTGAGAGACTCAGGCAGGAGGATCTTAAAGTTTGAGCCCAGCCTGAGAACTTAGCAATACCTAATTTCAAGTAAAATTTTAAGAGGGCTGGGGATTAGCTCAGTGGTGCTGCCGCCTGCCTTACAAGTGTGAGGTCCTGAGTCTGATCCCCAGTACCACAAAAGAAAAATTTTTTAAAAGGCAGTATGGGGGTTGGGCCAGAGTTTAACTTGGTTCTACCACCTGCATCGCAAGTGCAAGCTCTCCAGTTTGATCCCTGTTACAAAAAAAGAGACAGAAAGAAAGTGGGGGGGCACAATTGGGAACATACATAGCTCATCGTGAAGATCCTGGGTTCAGTCCCCAGTATAGTCAATCATTTTTTTGTGTGTTTTGTTTTATTTCTTTGAGACAGGGTCTCACTAGGTAGCTGAGACTGACCTGCAACTCACTATGTAGCCCAGGTTGGTCTTGAACTCACAGTGATCCTCCTGCCTCAGCCTCCCTAGTGCTGGGATTATAGGCATGCGCTACCACGCCCGGCCTAGTACAATCAGTCATTAAGACAGACAGACTTGCCATCGGACTTGGAGGAAAGCACATGGTTTCATCATCTTTCAGGACATGGTCCTCTCATTTTTTGATGTTCTCTTTGTAGCTCTGGCTTGCTCTGGCGAGGCTGGAGACTTATGAAAATGCCCGCAAAGTCTTAAATAAAGCACGTGAGAACATTCCTACAGACCGGCACATCTGGATCACGGCCGCCAAGCTTGAGGAAGCCAATGGGAACACTCAGATGGTGGAGAAGATCATTGACCGAGCCATCACCTCACTGCGGGCCAATGGTGTGGAGATCAACCGTGAGCAGTGGATTCAGGTAGGCTGCATTTGGGTGTCCTAGGGTCTGCTTTAAAAGCAGATATCTTCAGGGCCAGGGATTTAGTTCAGTGGCACCACGCCTGCCTTGCAGATCCTGAGTTCGTTCCCCGGTACCAAAACAAAACAAACAAAAGCAGATGTCTTCCTGTATGTGGGGGTCTCACATAGTGTGTAGAAGGTGTTGGAGAGTTCCCACTCAGGTGGGTAAAGCAGGCCTAGTGTAACTTTGTTCTACTTGCCCTCACTCTCAATGGATTCAAGACCTTGTGCAGCCTTGAGGTAACTTATTCTGAGGCATTTTCAGGGCACAGGCACCTATCTCTAGTGTCCTTTGATAGTAGAGATGATGTCGCCTCAAAGACAATGACTGAGTCTTATGTCTTTTTTATTTTTCGTCTGTCGACATAAAGCTAAAGAAGTCTTTAGAGGTCATCTGACCCACTTCTTGGGTTTGGGTTCCTCTACTGCTTTCTCCAAGGAGTTACGTACTGAGTGAACTCTCTCCCGATGGCTCTGCCAAGTGGGAGGTGCTTTGTAATGGAACCTGTGCCAAAACTCTTCAGTGCTGCATCCTGTGGAGAGAGCCCCTCTGCTTTCCTTTCTACCCTCTGTGCTGGCAGACAGACACCCGCACCTCCCTGCAGCCTCCTTTCTCTGGCATTCTATTGCTACAGTCAGACAGCTGACAGCTGGTTGCTTCTAGAGCCACAGGTTCTCCAGATGCTCAGAGTGTGTTGTCACTTTCTGTTGTGAGTCTTCTTGAGGAGCTTGGGTTGGCTCTGATGCTGCTTCGTGTTTCTGCGTCTCGAACATTCTTGCTCAGCACCTCACATTTAATTCATGTGGGATGTTGTTCAGCCATGTGGCTCTTTTTTGTATTTGGTGATTTTGGTTTTCCTTTTTAAAAATCTCAGGTTTAAGGCCACATTATATGTATCTCTGAAGCTTAACCACTTAGGTCTAGCCCTTCCTATGTCTGATTGCTTTAGTTGTGTTATTGTCATTTCTCTCTTTTGTTCGTTCACTCGTTTATGTTTTGAGACATGCTGTGTAGTATTGCACTCACTGCAATCCTCTGGCTTCAGCCTCCTGAGTATTGGGATTACAGGTGTGCTGCCATACCCACTGACTGTTAGTGTCATTTCTGATGCTGTCTGTGCTCCAGGTTTCCCAACTATCATCATTTTTCTTCTACTTGAAGGTGTGTGTGTGTGTGTGTGTGTGTGTGTGTGTGTGTCTGTGTGTCTGTCTGTCTGTCTCTCTGTCTGTCTCTTTCTCTGTTGTAATGGGCATTGAACTAAGGCCTTTGAGCATGTAAGACAAGAACTCTACCCAGTACCCTGCCACCAAACTGTATCTCTAGCCTTTTTTACTTTGTTTTGAAATTTTGAGACAGGTTCTTCAATTTAGAATCTCCCTGCCTCAGCCTCCCAAGTAGCTGAGATTACAGGCAAGTGCCACTACACCTAGTCTTTAACATTTCTTATAGTACAGGTCTGCTATAAATTCTTTCTGCTTTATGTATCTAGAGATAGTCTTTATTTTAACATTTTTTGAAGTACTGGGGATTGAACCCAAGGCCTTGGCATTAAGCTGCTTTCCCAGCACTCTTATTTTTTATTTTGAGGTAGGGCCTCAGTAAGTTCCCTAGGTGGGACTTGAACTTGTGATCCTTAGACCTCAGCTCTCAAAGTGCTGGGATTATAGGCATGTGCTACTGCACTTGATTAACTTTGCTTCTGAAAATTACTCTTGCTGGATATAAAAGTCTAGGGTGGCACTTTTTTTCTCTAGTAATTCAGAGAACTTGTAGTCCTTCTACCTGAGTGTATGCCACTACACCAGGCTTATGTTCTTGTATATGATGTGAGGTCAGAGTTCACCCTCAGTGTTTTTTTTTGTTGTTGTTATTGTTGTTATTGTTGTTTTTCCCATAGCGGGAATCAAACTCAGAACCTTGCACTTGCCAAGCAGGTGAGGCACCACTAAGCTAAATCTGTGGCCCTCATCCTGAGTTTTATTTTTTTTTGTTGTTTTTTTGGTACTGAGGATTGAACTCAAGACTCCCAGTTGCCAGGCCGGCTCTCACCATCAGTTTTTGACATTCGTATATCCAGTGGTCATTGCTCTGCTAACTCTTCTTGCTGTATTGAATGGTCTTGGTACCCTTGCTGAGAATCAATTGGTTATAAATGCGAGGATTTAGTTCTAGATTCATTTCTGTCCCATTTGTGTCTGTCTTAATGTAGCTGCACTAGCTGCACACTGTTCTGACTGCTGTAATTCTCTGGTTTGAAATTGGGAAGCAGAAGTCCTGCTTTGTTCTTTTCAAGATTATTTTGCTGGACTGGGGATTTGGCTCTGTGGTTCCACTGCCTGCCTCACAAGTGCAAGGGTGCAAGTTTAATCCCTGGTACCAAAACAAAACAAAACAAAGATTATTTTGCCTATGCTCAGTTCCTTGCATTTCTGTGTGAATTTTAGGATCAGCTTGTCAATTTCTGAAAAAAAGCCCACTGGAATTTTAATAGTGCATCAGATTTACAGAGTTTCGGGAATAGTGTCGTCTTTTATGTGTGAAGGCCATGAGTTCAATCTCTACTACCACCAGAAAGAAAAAATAAATATTTATAACTAATTTTTTTCTTTTTCTGTGTGTGTGTGTGTGTTTGTGTGTGTGTGTGTGTTTAATATTGGTGCGATCACTGAGCTGCACTCCTACATCCTACTTCACTATTTTTGATGCTATTATAAGTGGATTACTTTCATAATTTTATTTCCATGTTGTTGATTTTTATGTATTGAACTTTGTATCAAAGGGCTCTTATCAGAGACCTCTGCAGTGAATGCTGATCTGTCTGCTTAGTGCTACGATGCATGTCGAAGAAAGACATAAAAACACAGTTAAAGAGACAGGTAAGGGAGCGAGGATGACCAAAGCTCATGCAAGTGAGGCTAAACAAGCAAAGACCCTGAACATTATTATTGGTGATATCATAGTTAGATTGAGGTAAAAGGGCTACCTGGAAGAACTATGTAGAGTTACTACAGATATGTTGTTGATGCAGGCAAGACTTGTAAAGGAAAAGACAAAGCATTCCTGAATTAGAAACAGAACAGACAAAAATACAGGTTGTGAGGCCGGGGATTTAGCTCTTTATAACCTACACTGCTTATAGTCTGCTTTGGGCATAATCAGTGGGGGCGGTCTCCCACAGGCTCTATCCCTAGCTTCTTTTCTTTTTGGGTGGGGGGCACTGGGAACTGATTCTAGTATCTGTGCACTGGGCTATCCCTCGAGCCCTTTTTATTTATTTATTATTTTTTGGTACCGGGAATCAAACTCCAGGCCTTGCACTTTCCAGGCAGGTACTGTGCTGCTGAGCTACATCCCTGGCTCTAAAATTTTTTTATTTTTAAGACAGGAGCTCAGTAAGTTGCTCAGGCTGGCCTCCAACTTGTGATCACCCTACCTCAGAGTCCCAAATAGCTGGCTAAGGTTATAGGTATAAACTGCCTGCCACTCCTGGCTTCTGTTGTCCTTTTGGGGGGGTGGTTGAGACAGGGTCTCACTATGTAGTTGAGACTGACTTGGAACTCACTATGTAGCCTAGGCTGGTCTCGAACTCACAGCAATCCTCCTGCCTCAGCCTCCCGAGTGCTAGGATTATAGGCGTGCGCCACCAGGCCCAGCTGTTGTCCATTTGTTTATCTTTCAGTTTGATTTTTGGTTGTTTTCTGTTGTCTTGTCTTCACATTCATAGGTATTTTTTATCTTCAGTTTCTAACCTACCATTTATTTCATCTAATATATTTTTCACTTTAGATGTTTTACTTTTCATTTCTACAAATTTAATCATGGTCTTTTTTCTTCCTGTGTCTCTCCCTAACTTTGGAACATAGAGACTATGGTTAGAATAATTGTTTTAATGTTTTTGTCTGCTAATTCTAACATTTGTTAGTGTTTGGTCAGTGTTGATGGACCCCCCCCCCCTTATTATGGATTGTGTTTTCCTGTTTCTTTGCATGCCTTGTTTTTTGCCAGATATTGTGAATTTTACCTGTTGAGTGCTAGATGTTTTTGCTTTCCTGTAGCTGTTCTAGAGCTTTGTGTTAGAATGCACATAAGTCACTTGGAGAAACTTTGATCCTTTGAGTCTTACTTTTGGGTTTTGCTTTTATGTGTTGTAAGGTAAGACTTGAACAGTGTTCAGCTTCAAGTTGATTTGCCTTGTTTTTTGCCAGATATTGTGAATTTTACCTGTTGAGTGCTAGATGTTTTTGCTTTCCTGTAGCTGTTCTAGAGCTTTGTGTTAGAATGCAGCTAAGTCACTTGGAGAAACTTTGATCCTTTGAGTCTTACTTTTGGGTTTTGCTTTTATGTGTTGTAAGGTAAGACTTGAACAGTGTTCAGCTTCAAGTTGATTGTCCTGAGGCAGGGCCTCTTTGTGTCAAGTGCCTCATGATCCTTGGGGTTTTTCTGTTTGCCTGATGAGAACTGGTGCTGGTCTGAGCTCTGTGTGTGCTCTGAGGGTTGCTCCAGACAGTTCTTTGTAGTGGTTCTTTTTGGACCAGCCATGACCTGGTCAAGCTCAGTGAACTCATTGGGCGGTCTGCATGGCAGGACTTTGGGATTCTGTCTCTGTATCGCACCCTTTGCTCTCATATTTGATTCTGTGTGCTCTGTCCTTTGTTCTCCTGGTCCGTCCACAGTCTGTTCACAGAGACTCCTGGTCCTTTCCTGGGCTCTCTCTCAGTCTGTGGCCTGGAAATAGTCTGCAGTGAGCTGGAGTACCATGTGACCTCCTCCATCACTTCTTGTGTGTCATTCTTCCTTGTGTGTTATTATACTCATAGTCTTTTAAGGATGGTCTTTTTTGTTTTGTTTTTTTGAGATAGGGTCTTACTATGTAGTTGAGACTGACCTGGAATTCACTATGTAGCCCAGGCTGGCCTCATACTCACAGCCATCCTCCTGCTTCAGCCTCCCGAGTGCTG